GCTCAGAAGTCGAACATGAGATCAAACTGTTGAAGTTAAATAAAGCCGCGGGACCGGATGACCTTCCTCCAGCCCTCTTCAAATTCGGGAACCTGCTCTTGTGGATGATTTACACGAGTTACTAGTGAAACTGTGGGAGCAGGAAACTGTCCCAACCGATTGGAGCCGCTCCATCACAGTCCCAATTTCCAAAGGAGGCTTACGATCGGAATGCGGCAGCCATAGAGGAATCAGTCTGATCTCCATCGCCTCCAAATTGCTTGCCTCTGTCATCCTTCACAGACTGACTGGCACTCGTGTAAGCAAGATTCGTGAAGAGCAAGCTGGTTTTCGTCGAAGTCGTGGCTGCATTGACCACATCTTCACCTTGCGTCAGTTGTTGAAGCACCGTCACATATATTGGCGGCCCACCATTGTCGTGTTCCTCGATATCAAAGGTGCATTCGATTCGGTGGATAGACATGCACTTTGGTACTGTCTATTCAGGAAAGGTGTACCTGAGAAATATGTGAATATTATCCGAGCATTATATGCGCGTAGCTTGGGCAGAGTGAGGGCTTACGGCAAGTTGTCGTCGCCCTTTAATATCTCCAGCGGCGTGAGACAAGGATGCCCGCTGTCACCTTTCCTCTTCAACTTCGCTGTTGACGAAATCATGGAAATCGCGTTCACAGGACACGACTTAGGTGTGGATCTGCTCCCAGGAGAACGACTTCTTGACTTTGAGTATGCTGATGATATTGCCCTAATCTGTGACAGCTCACAAACGTGTCAAGCGGCACTGGACAGATTAGCACTAGCTGTCCGTCACTTCGGGCTTTGCTTTGCACCCTCGAAGTGCAAAGCGTTCCTTCAAGATTGGTCTGGACCGCCTCCTACGCTGACCCTTGGTGTGGATCAGCTAGAAGTCGTTCGAAAATTCAACTACCTGGGAAGTTGTATCAGCGCCCGTGGGATTGAGGATGAGATCACGAATCGTATAGCAAATGCTCGGGGCGCTTTTGCTAACCTTCGCCACTTATGGCGCCGGCGCGACATCACTCTTGCCCTGAAGGGTAGAGTGTACAATGCAGCAGTACGTTCGACCCTACTGTACGGTTGTGAAACCTGGCCGCTTAAAACAGCGGACCTGAAGAGGCTAGTTACGTTCGACCACCGGTGCCTTCGTAATTTAGCTCACATCTGGTGGGAACACCGCATGAGCAACGAGCGTGTTCGACGCCTTGTTTATGGCACAGGAAAAGGAACTGAACCGCTCAGCACTGTTATTTCACGCATCAGGCTCCGATGGCTCGGCCACGTGTTACGCATGCCAGTCCACCGACTCCCGCGACGTGCGTTGTTTGCGCGCCGGGGTGTGGATGAAAGGAGAGGAGGGGTGGCCAAGCGATGACTTGGTCGAGAGGAATGAAGGCCCTCACTTCTGAGCTGGCCTCGGTTGGAGCGTCTCGGCTCCTTGGTTGGGGTCCGAAAGATGATGAACACGTTTGGTTGGACACACTTGCTGATATGGCTAGGAGCCGACCTCAGTAGCGTTCGTGCTGTGAGTTTCTTTGTCCCACCCCATCCCTCTTAGCCTCCCCCTCCAACCACGATCTCATTATTTAACCTTTTATACTTTTGCATAGTATTTTTTTGGTGCACAGTAGCCGGCTGGTAGCTTACCGGAACGATGCCCATCCGTTACCGGTAGCTCAGCCAGCTTGCACCAGTTGCATTTTTTCTCCTTTTTTCTGTGTATTGCGGCACAGTAGCTGAGGTGTTCCTCACCTCTAGCTAACGTGTATGATGATGATGATGTTGACCAGAGGCCACGAAGTGACCCAATGTTTATGTTGGCCATTAGATATGGGGATTTGGCTACTGCTAATAAGGTCTGGTGAACATGCGGCCACTGACCTTTAGCTGTATTCAGTGAGCGCTTACTTAGCCAAGCTCGTAGCCTAAAGGTAACATGCTTATCTTGTAATCTGACGGCGCGGGTTCGAACCTGCGTAGAGGTAGGACGACCCTTGCAGTATCCTTAGCCTGCCGGTGGCTTATGCCTGAGTGGTCTACACGTTTGCTTTGCAACCATAAGATCACCGGTTCGAATCGGGCGCGCGGGCTGACGCGACTGGTGTTGGTTGCGTGGCAGCGGAGCGCCGTTACGGCGTACAGCTGACACATTTTGCCTGCGTGCGACCGGTGGTGGTTGCGCGGTAGAGAAGCGTCGGTACTGCCTACCGTCCTACTGCGGATGACTGACTTCAGTCTGGATGCCAGCGTGCCTAGCTACGCATTCAGAACATCTGGCTTCACCAGTTGGCTTGTGTCGATGCGCTCACAGCGTCGTCGCTGGTGTCCGCCAAAACGCATCTGCAGGTCAGCACATACAAGTGCATGGTCGGTGTCCAAACATGTGTTCTAAATCTAGCGACAGTTCTGGAAGCAGCCTCTTCAGCCTCTTCGACGTGCATACCGAAGCAGCTGTTTTATAGTCAGCTGAGTGTGGGGAAGCGGCATATGGGGAAACCGAAGCTTCGTTACCAGCACATGATCAAAGTGAGTCTATCACATTCCATTGTTGATTGTAAGTCATGGGAATCGAAGGCGGTTGATCGGCGTGCATGGCACTATCTGATCGCGACGGCAGTTGCCGAGGTGTAGGAGAAAGCCCTCGTGCATGCAGAGAGGAAGCGGCAATTGCGGAAGCGACAAGCGCCGATGGGCTGTGCTCCATCGACATCGAGTGCATTGTGCTGTAGCACATGTGGTCGCGAGTGCCTGAGTCAGGCAGGCCTAGTGAGCCACGAGCAAGGACACTGCGGACCAGCATCGAAACGACGACGAGCCTTGCTAAGAACGTTAGTCGAATGGGTGCAGCGTTTGTAGGTACGCTGCAATCGGTTTGCTAATGGTGTGCTTGCGTGTTGGGTTTCTTTATTTCATCTGGTGGGTTTGCTATCCTGTCTGAGTGCATATCTTTTTTTACCTTACCTTAACATTTACCTGGCCTTGCACACGTTGTTTAAGCAAATTGGGGTAAAGTTCGCTAACATTTTCACGTTTATGGTATTTTTACACTGTTTTCTGCACTTGTCGGGGATGTGTTGGTAACCAATTTATTGCATATGCTCATTTAGCGGAGATTTATGTCAGCATTTCCGTACGCTTTGTTCGACATATATTATATGTTATTCTCATTTCAAGTTATTGCCTGTTGTTTGACATTTCCAGCGTGGTTGCGCTTGATGTGCCTGTTGATAGGATGCCTACCTGTCTGTTACCCACTACCTTGTCTACTCTGGCTCCAGGAAACAGTTGGTCGTTGCTGGAGTGGACGGGATGCACGGTCCTCGTGACCGTGCTAAGCTTGAAGAGTGGTTCCATGTACTCAGTTTGGAGCGGACCACAGTCCAGCCACCGCGTTGTGTGTGCTTGATTCCCCAAATACAGCGTGCTTGTGTTTGTCTGTGAAGGAGTGTGGGCCGGCACCGTTGATGAAACGTGAATCCCGTCTGCATGCCTCCTGGGCTTATTCCTTCGGGTTTACACTGGATATGGGGTGTGTGGATGAAGCTGTGGGTGGTGCAGCACAATCCACCTATGGTTCGTCTCTGGGCGCAGATGTCCTGTGGCTGCCCTATGGGCGCCACTATGACTAGCAAGTCCGGAACCGAATGCCGCCAACCATCTGTATTGTGTTGCTTACAGACGATTGACTTCTGGACTTGGAATATGCTGATGGGACTTTTCTAGTCGGTGGCGACTCTTAAACCTGTCAATCATCAGCACTGGTTGTCGATCGTTTCTCGCTATATTAGCACGTATGGAGTAGAAAATAAGGTCACGAACCGTATAGCACAAGCTCGATGTGCTTTTGCCAATCTTCGCAACATGTGTCGCCGGCGCGACATCACTCTCACCGTGATGGACCCAGCTTACAACGCTGCCATGTGTTCAACCCTCCTTTGGGATTGAGAAACTTGACACATCAAATGGATAGACTCAAATAGACTATTTGCGTTCGACCACCAGTCTCTTCGCAGTTTTGCCTAAAGTCTGGTGGGGACACCACGTAAGCACCAAGGGTGTTCGGGGTTTCTATTTATGGCACAAGCAGAGCGAGTAATCGTTGCGCACCAATAATTCACGCACCAATCTTCGATGGCTGAGTCACGCGTTGCGCAGGCCAGCACACTGACTCCTGCGATGTGTACTGTTTGCGCCAGCGGTATCTGCATGGAAGAAGAGGAGGGGAGGCCATAGGAAGACTTAATCAAAAGAGATGAAGCCTCTAACTTCGAACTTTACGTCGGTTCATATCTCCCGACTGCCGGGTTGACGCCCACAAGGCGATGAGCATTTGGTTGGATACACTTGTTGACATGGCGAAGAGCGGGCCTCAGTGTCATTCGTGCCACGAGTTTCTTTGTCGCTGCTCCCACATAGCTTCCCGTTCCAACCACGATCTCATACACGACGCATAATATGTGCCCAAGCGTTATATTAGTTTTTCGATTTTTATTTTGTATTCCGCAAACCTGATTATCTCGCTCTTTCATATATCTTGTCCTTTTGTATTGCAGCACCATTACCAAGGTCTCTCACTATTAGCTAACATGTACTTGTGATGATGACAGTGATAATGCTAGATCGTCGAGTTTTTCTTCCATCTGAAGACGGCTTTTAATACGACTACATTCACTGCTCGGCTTATGTAGAGCCAGCCGTCTAGTTCCACACAGTTTGTGCCTGTTGCTTTGTCTTTGTATGAAACAATCGTCATCCAGCGCTTTGTCGAATGTGTATGCTAGTCACTTGACGGTGGGTCTAACAGTGACACCGAGTCTACTTAAAATTCTTCGCTTTCCATGTGTACTTGAACTATGTGGAAGCAGTCGTTTGATGTGATCTTTTGCGCTCTTTTTATCTCTGCTACGGACGCCTTTCATTTCATGGATGCACTTTTCTCCTGTCCAACTTTTGAATCTGATACAAATGTTTTTCTCGTTTCAGGCTGTCATATTGTTGTTCAAGCTCTACCTCAACAGAGTCTTCCTTATCCCTGGTTTCGATGTGTCGAGCTTTTAATCCTTCCCTCCAGTCATTCTTTTTATACTCATCAGCAATCTCTCCGAAATGAGTAGCATCACCTGGTTTTCCTATTTCGTCGGCGTCTGGGCTTCTATTTATTTAACTGATGCTGCTTTACGGTCCCATCCGTACACTCGACAGTGGTACCATGAGTTCACAGCACGACTGGGCATATCGTTTGATGTGTTCCAAGCTCGTGTCTTCACCCAGCGCCTGAATCGGTTGTTCCAATCCATCTGCCGATTTGACTATGTCCCATGGAGAATATGGTTCTCATGCGGGGTTTTCTTCTCTCTCATCTTCATGGCGCTCAGTATTGGACTTCTGACCCTGCTTATTTACAACACCGTTACTCAGAAGACCATCAAGGGCGTTTCTCTGACCCCGGTGGTAAGTGTGGCTCTGAACCTGCTTAATTTTCTCAATTTTTTATTTGTTCTGTTTGTATGTTGTTACAGAACTCATCAATCAGGCGAGCGGGAGTAAGTGCACCGGGTAATGTCTTGCACTACACCTGTCTGCGTCCGAGGTTAACTTGTTTCGTTGGCCTGCGGCAGCCAGTAGGCATACATCATGTGTATTCGAATTATCACTTTTATGGCACCTCTCGTGGAATCCCAGCGTCAATGCGTTCCCGACAATGGCCGCGTGGCGAATGTGGGTACGCCGGATGCTGATTAACGATGGTTGGAGTATAGCTGTGTTGTGGTGTTGTTTTTTTCCAAACCGAATATGTCAAATTCCGCGCTGTATTTGTGTGCGTGCATCATTGCTTCTTTATATCTTTTCCTGGTGACCACGTCTACTAACAACTTTTGTGGGCCTACCAATCGAATTCAAAGGCTGTTCAATAGGTATCGGACTTTTATCGATAAAAACTGAAGCTATACAAATGCAAACTATTAGTCTGCTTCAATCTAGTCTCCTTGGGCCATTACACATTTCTCCCGGTGTTTCTGTCACTGCAGAAAACACCACTGAAACGCCTTTTTTGTGATGGCATACAGCTGTTCCGTCGTATTTACATGTTGCTTCATCCGAACTCAAAATCTGCTCCCTTTGACTGGCATTTCCAGTTTTAGGAACAACCAAGTCACATGATGCCATGTCGGAAGCTTGGCGAGCCTATCGAAGCGCTAGCATGTTGTGTTTGGCCAGGAAAATCGCTATCAAATGTGAAGAATGTGTTAGTGCGTTGTCGTGATCGAGCTGTTGACTACCCGTTGCACACAGATCAGGGCACTGCGATTCTCTTTCTGCCAACATCTTTAGTCAAAATGGGTCGAACAAATCCAATTCTGATGCTCATATCTGTAAATACTCGGATCACGATACGGCGATCCTGCATCACCGTACTGTTCACTTGTTCAATGGCAGTCACATTCCTGGTTGTCTAGGGCCTACCAAACCTTGCTTCACTCTCTACTAATGTGGTGCCTTCTTTGAAATGGCTGTAGCCTTCTTTTATCTGTGTGGTGTTCATTGCTGTGTCGCTGAAAGCCTTTCGGATAGCTTCCACTCGGGAATTGCCAAGCTTAGCCGTTTTTCTAAGAGGTAAGTCCGAAGACGCACAGTTACACATCCTCACTCAACCACAGTTTGACGAGAAATGGATTCGCTCTGCGGCGGGAAGAAATTGCACGCATGCGCATAAGGGTCACCTGCTTACGTGCACCAAATCATGTCTTTCGGTCTTTTTTCACAGGACAAATAAAAGGCCGACACTTTTTGAACTGCCCTCGTATCTATCGTGCATTGCCTCTTTTGTCTCTTTGGAACCAGCTAAGTGACACAATAGGCATTTTAATTGTGTCCACAGCCATCACCTTCTCAACGCATCCTTACTGGACATAGCCTCACAAATGCTGTTTTCTCCATGGTATGCCACCCGCTTGATGGCCTATTGATTGACACTGCGCTAATTCATAAATCTATCAAGAACTTCTACTCCCCTACCTTCCTAACCAACAGACAAACCAACTGTATGCCTTTGCTTTTACAGACACCCATATTGGTTCTTCATATCAGTGCGTTTGGCCGGGTACTCTCTTGTTCTCGGTTTCACTCATCAATCTCTGCATGGGATCCTGTTGCACAGAACTGTTCGAAGGGAGCTGGAAGCAATTGATCTGTTCCACGTTTCTTACCATCTACGTTCACTGTAATCCACTTGTGCCTACTGAAACGTATACACGTATTGGAATTGAACGCAGTGTATTCAGGGTCGGGTTGAAATCCGCTTTATTTCAGTGCAGTACTGCCTAACCTATTCCGTTTGGCGTTCTTGGGTGCCCTCCAGCCTTTTCTCATCCTTACCAACTACTCGCGTCTGGGTAGTTACGTTGCTTCCCCACCGACAGGGTGCGCAGGTGAATCCCAGTTGTCGATACGCTCCTTGACGATTCTTTTGGTCAGCAAGTCTGGTCAACTGGTTGTTGTTGTTGTTGTTGTTGTTGTTGTTTAGTGCACACCTGCTCACTGCATATCCAGTCAACGTTTCTTTTCTTCACTTCATCCCAAGCTGCTGCTGCTGCTGCTGCGTGGTTCGAGATGCGCAGTAATTCATCTAAAACTAGGGACAACATTTATTGACCGGTCCGCATCACCTTCCACTTTGAAGGCCAAGTAATTTTCTGTGTACCTGCATTGTGATATGGACGCGCATTGCTCGCAGTCGGTACCACTAGTGCGTTTTATCACCGCTTCCCAGTCTGACTATTTGTATGGTGCTGAATTACCTATGACACAGAGTAGTCTCAACCGCGAGGTAATTGTCACGCTATTTTTACCCTATTTTCCCACCTCACCTACCAGTTTGCACCCATGTCTCGTTTGCGCGGTATAGATACCGTGCCCCTGACAATTTTCTCCCCATAGCCTTTGTTTCCTTATCAGCGAACTCTTTTCCCTTAATGCGTGGATGCATGGCTTAGTATATTGATGCAGTGCTGTCGACGACTTTGTCGTGTTCGATGAAAAATAGCGGATCAATGAATGGATAGCACTCAGTGTGACTCCAAAGCCCTACTTCACGGTTTCGAGTCCGCTTCTGCATGGGTTTTGGTGGCCGTGTAGTATCCTAGCCCGTCTGTAACAGTCTGGGATCGTGTCCCTTCGCAGCGAGACTGGACCATAACCTGGTGCGACGGTGGGTGTACCTCTTCTACCCATTGATCTATACACAAGTCGTCAAAATAAGCCTAATGAGCTCTGATGCTTCCATGTTCAGTATTTACACCACCACTGCTGACACCTGGACGATAATTTCAATCAACATGCTTGGGAAGAAAAGTGGGAAAAAAGCAGAACTGTTACTCCAACAAGTGTTCGCGCAGCATGTTAGTGACTTTTACTGTGTCAATAAGCAAGTGTGAGAGATAAGGAAAAACAGTATTACGATAGAATGAGGTGCGGGAGAACAGAATTCTGAATTTCGAACTTGTAGAAGAAAAAGAGCACGTTTTGGAAAGATCCTTGTGCAGTGGCTGAAATCGATCAGCTAGTATCTTAGAAGAAAAACCATTGCAGGCATCAACATGTCTAGCAATGATCAACTCAACTAAAGAATCTCTAGACAATTTCGCTACATCTAGTAATGTACTTTATAGATCGCACCAATAAGATGTAGTCTTTCTGAAACAGTCCAGGGAAAAAGACAGGAAAGCACTATAGCTAATGGGAAATAATACAAGAGGTCACAAACCTGAATATTAAAGTAGTAGGTACTAAAAGCACCTTGAGTCATTGGGCATACAAAGCAAGTTTTCTGACTTTTTGAAAGTTTTACAGACTTGCGAGGACCAAGAAAGGTTCTGGTACAAAATACGTCGAGATACTTCATGGTGGAAGAGCTGCGTATGGGATTTTCATTCACAATAAGTGAGGTGGAGAAAGCTGTAGGGGAATGCAACTTATCGCCACGTAGAGAAGAACATATTATATCCCTGCATTTGGAATCATTAAGCGTAAGAGATCTGGATGAAGATCATTCCACCAGATCTTCCAACACACAGTGAAGTGATGACGAATCCTGGTTATTGGAGGACATACATCCCAGCACATCATCAGCATATTTACACTCTGCAAACGTAGTTTGGATAGGGAGATGTCTAACATACAAGGAAAATAGAAAAGGTGATAGGATCGCTCTTTGTAGAACACCACAGTCGGCACAGAGGGCAGAGGATTTCTTACCGTTCAACTTGGTGAGGTGAGTACGATCTGTAAAATAGGCACGTAACACATTACACACACCACCGTGAACTTCATTTTCGGATAGCAGGTTTGGCAACTTTGACCTATCCAGGCTTTCAAGGGCATTCGAATAATCCAGGAAGGGAAGCCGTACGAATTCACATTTTTGATCTAATGCGGAGGCTTTAGAATGAACAACATATGCCACTGCATCCAATGTGGAGCGCTGGGGTCTATACGCAAACTGGTAGATATCGTCTTCAGGAGCGGCTGAGCAAATCCACGGAAGTAACAGTCTTTCGAAAACCTTTAGGAGCACAGGTGTATATGCATTTGGGCGATACTTATGAGATCCAGTTTTTGGTACTGGCCGTTCTCCAAATGTCCGGGATCACACCCATAGTGAGGCCTTGTTAAAGAGGTCTGTTAGGGGCGGTGTGAGAGCGTTAGCGCACTCCTTCAAAGCTAATGGTGAGAGACCATCCGGACCACAAGCTTTGGTTGCATTTACTCTTTTGAGTTCATAGTTGACATTGCTTTGACCGAAGGGTGCGGCTAGACTTGAGCTAATGAAAGAGGGCAAGGAAGATGAGCTTAGTGAAGCGGAACTAAACTCCGAATTCAGTTTGTCCACATCCAATTCACCTCTCTGGCTGCAAACGCTCTTACCACAAAGCTGCCTCAGAATCCCCCATAGAACGCGACAGTTATGGTTGCTTAGAACTGCTTCAACGTATAATTGGTTGTTTTTTATTATTATCTCGGATTTACTTGCCGTGGTTAGGCTTTTGACACGGGTAGCATTCTTGCACTTGTAGCCCCATTCTTTCATCCTTCGAAGTCGCTTTAGTAGTGGTCACGAAAACCTATATGCTCTTAGATAGATCGTTTCAACAGGACAACACATATCAAAGCAATATTGGATGTAGTCCGTAAGATGGTCACATTTGAGCGACAGGTTCTCTTTGTTGGAGACCGAAAAATCAGTCAAATAAATCATCGTCTGGAGCCTTGTGATCTTTTCCAATGTGCAATTTCGCCGTTTGATAATCTTGTAAGGACGTTTGGCCAGCCTTACAAAATTAGACCTGTTGTATATGACTAGACACATTTTAAAATACAATGGTCTGAGCTGCTCAAAGGAGCCCCCTCATGTTTGGCAAATAACTGTCGTTTATTTTTGAACACAGCGTCCA